GGAGCTGGTGCTCCATGAGCAGCTCCATGATGGGGAGAAGCCCCACACGTGCGAGGAGTGTGGGAAGAACTTCAGGTGGAACTGTGACCTGATTGTGCACCAGAGGATCCACACTGGGGAGAAGCCCTACGAGTGTGGGGAGTGTGGGAAGAGCTTCAACCGGAGCTCCCACTTAATCATACACCACAGGACCCACACTGGGGAGAAGCCCTTTGAGTGTGGGGGGTGTGGGATGTGCTTCACAGACAGCTCCAACCTGATCAGGCACCAGAGGACCCACACTGGGGAGAGGCCCTATGAGTGTTCCAAGTGTGGGAAGAGGTTTAAGACCAGCTCCGATCTCCTCCTGCACTATCAGACTCACACAGAAGAGAGGCCCTTCCAATGCCCCAACTGCGGGAAGGGATTCAAGCGCAACTGCACCCTCATCAGACACCGGCGCATCCACACTGGGGAGAGGCCCTACGAGTGTCCCCAGTGTGGGAAGAGCTTCTCACAGAGCTCTCACTTGACCCAACACCAACGGAGGCACCGGTAAGGGAAGCCCTGGGAGTGCCCCGGGTGCGGGCAGCGCTTCGTGCGCTGCTCCAGCTCCATTATTAATAATAGTATTAATAATTATAATAATAATAACAATAATAATAGTAATCAAAGGGAGGGGGTTTACATTTTCCATTTCTGTGGAGGCTTCTGAAATGGGGAGACACCCCAAGGCTGGTCCATGTCAAATATTTCCTGAAAGATGTAAATTAGTTTATGTTTTTGCATGAGGGTCTATGAATATGCAACAGGCTGATGTAATTAAAACCAGATTAATTAAGGGGTGTCCCCGAGCATAACTGGGGGGTCTTGGTGGCCATAACAACCTTTGCTCGATGGTCCTTGTCTCCCATTATATCAATCCGTTGCATTTTCATGGCGTTGTTGCATATCCACGAAGTACTTTACATATTCCAGGAACAAAATTGGCTTGATCCTGTCTGGGGGTCCAAGCCCCCTCCCAGCTCAATTTCGGGGGTCCCATTCTCGTCCCAGCTCAGTTTTGGGACCCCATGCTCATCCCAGCTTAATTTGGGGGTTCCATTCCCTTCCCACCTCAATTTGGGGGTCCCATTCCCCTCCCAGCTCAATTTTGGGGTCCCGACCCTCTTTTCCGCGCTCTCTCCTTTCCGATCGTTCCCCCAGTGCCCTGCCCCGTGTTTGGTTTTGTGGGCTCCAGGCCCCTCCTGCTCCGTTCTGGGTTCCCGACCCCGTTTTGGATTAATTTGAGGTCTCCAATCCATCTCCAGGGTCACCTTCCCCCCCTCCCCACCAAATTCCGCTTTTGGCAACTGATGAGTCATCAGCGAGACATGCTCTGATTGGCTGGAAATTACCCCGCGCTGTCTCTGATTATTTACCGCAGTGAGAGGGCTTGGTCTGTGGCTGGCAAGTGATGAGTTAGAGTCGCATCGGGCGCTGATTGGCTGAAAATCGCTAGGCGGGGCCAGTGCTCTGAGTTTCTGCCCAGCAAGTGAATCGTCATCAGCGCCGTCCGTTCTGATTGGTCGGGATCTGTTTTGGCGTGGGGACGTGAGGAACTGGGGTTCTTGGGGTTTATTTCGGTTTATTTAGTGTTGGTTTGGGTTTTTTTTGGGGTTATTTATTGACTAATTGGGGTTTATCTTGGGTTTTTCTTGGTTTATTTCTGTTTATTTGGGGGTATTATTTGGAATTATTTGGGTTTATTTGGAAGTATTTGGGTTTTTTTGGGCTTTTTTGAGTTTATGTGGGTTTATTTGGAAGTATTTCGGGTTCTTGGAGTCAATGTTGGTGTATATGGGGTTTTTTAGGTGCAGTTGAAATCAATTGGTGTTTTTTGGGTTTAATTTGGGGGTTTATTTTGTTATTTTGGGGTTGTTTGTATTTCTACAGGATTATTTGGGAGTCTTTTAGGTAACGTATGGGTTTTTTTCGAGGTATTTGGGGTTTATTTTGAGTGTTTTGGGGTTTTTTGGGTTATTTGGGGTCATGTGGGGTAATTAAATCCGGCAATATTCCTCCTGCAAAAAACTGGAATTTTTCCTTAAAAATCTGAGAGTTTTTCCCCAAAAAAACTGGAATGCCCCTAAAAATCCCGGACTTTTCCCATCCAATAGCAGTGTGCCCCTCCCCAAACCATCCAATCACTGCGGGTCTCCCCTCAGAACACCAGCCTCCCTGTGCACGATCCAAACAATGACTGCACGCCTCCCCTCTCTCACACACCGAGAAAAAACCAATCACTGCGTTCCTCCCCTCAGCTACTCTCGCCTCTCTCGACCTGAACCGACCAATCACCAGGCGTCTTCCCTCAGCAAGTCCCACCTTCTTTGCGTCTATCCAACCAATTACCGAGCGTCTCCCCTTGGCAAA